AGGCATCAATGTTACTCAGTAACATTTACGTTTGCGCACGCTCAGATGGGAAGCAATACACCAGAGTAACCGACAGATGGCGCCCCTGCACCCATGAATAAGCAAAATTGATGCTCTCAGTTTTGCTGTGTGTCAAACAGAAGACACCACTGACCTGATTTTATTCTGTCATTTATTTAAAGCTCGTTTTTCTTATCAGCTAACACAGATTTATTTTTGTTGTTGTTGTTTTTACTTTGTGCTTCATTCCCAGTCGCCTCTGCAGCTGGCTCTCAGTGGAGAGGAGGGGTGGGGGGCGGATATTCATCATCTCGCAGCCTCCGCCCGCCTATCTGGCTCATCTGCCTCTGTCCAAAGCGGTGGAGAGACGGGGGGAACCGCACACAGACAGGGGGACATAAAGCTTGGAGGCGCTGCGAAAGCGAGAGAGAGGGGCGATGGCCGCTGGTGCAGGATGCGGGGAATCGGTGGATCAGTACCGGGCCGAGGTGGAGCGGCTCGCCCAGGAACTGGCCGAGGCGAACCGGGAAAAGATCAGGGCTGCGGAGTGCGGTTTAGCTGTCCTGGAGGAGAATCAGGCGCTGAAGCAGAAGTATACAGAGCTAGAGACCGAACAAGAGATCCTCAGGAAGGAGTTGGAGCAGTTACAAGAGGTAAGAGGAGAGGATGGGGCGGCGATTCTATTTATTTATTTGTTTTCATTCTGTAGGGAGGGGAAAGCACTGCAGTCAGGTGTGTGACTCGCTTGCATCTCAATTGAGTGACGCTCAGCGGGTATCTATAAACCTGTTTGACGCCCAGAGGCAGAGTGGGGGCGGCAGTTTATCAGGGCTTTCAAAAAGAGCAATAGTTTAATGCAACTTAAATACGATGCAATTGATGATCCTCCAGCTGGAAAATGTGCAACACTGTATGAATAAATTGCTTTATGAATAAATTATAATGTAAAATGCTGTTTGTGCAGCACTGAGCATTACAGTGTCGGAATTGCAAGCACACAGTAACAGTCCACTTCAGCTCCCACAACAGGGAGTTTCTTTGTTTTCGGATCCCTTCCATAAGAAGAGTCATTAGGGAATTTCAGGGACTCTTTTAGGACCTTTTATTTTTTTTGCTTAGATGTTTCTTGAGGGTATTTCACTGCAGGCCATATGGTGCTTCAATAATCAACTGGTCTGAATTATAAGAGATAAAGTCACATTAAAATCCAAGATCTTTTAAGGTAGGTGTCGACCTGGCTAATGACTGCAGGGTGTCGAGTTACTCAGTGCATACATGTAGCAAGAGGCAGATGCTGACAGGGCTCCCTGGTCCAAGGTCGCCTATGGAAATTGCTGACCATTGGAAGAAGGAGTTGAAGGCTGGTTACACTGTGAGTGCTTGTGAGTGTCCGTGGCATCGAGATAGGCCCCATCATTATTTACATGGACTCATCTATTATCACTTGAACATCAGTTGCTTTGGTCGAACATTTAAGTCATCGAGTCAAAAGAAAGCTGCTTGAGAAACTGTTAAGATGATGTGTTTCTTCTGTTAGGCTGTCAAATAACTTTTAATACCCTGTTTATTTTTTCTGAAAGCAAATAATCGAGGACTGTCAGAATGCATCATGTGTTACAGGTAATCTTTTTGATATGTTAAAGGTGTTAGCGAAATCTTTCAAAGATAGCCAACAGCTCTGGTCAAAGTAATTCTCTGAATTCTTCTTTTTATTGTTTCAGTTTTTCACATAAGAATCATTTTGATTTGAAATAAACCTCTAAAAGTCCACATTCATCCTACACATCAGTGACTCTTTCTTGTGCAACTAGCTCACCAAATATAGCCAAATAAAAAAGTCATTAAGCATCACTTATCACATTGCATTTTGCATGCTTAATTGTATTTATACTTTGTTCCTCGTACCCTTTTGTTCCACTGCTTAGCTTAACATTTCGGTTTGACACGCATGCAGAATCTGAACGATCTTAGTGCAGATAACAGCACAGCAAGAAAGCTGAGGAGACAGCGTGATACAGCCAGCAGCTCAGCAGTGTCAAGCTGATAACTCACACTTATGGATTACAGAGGGATGGGTATTATGATGGGCTATGGTGTTGAATATGCTGAGAAAGAAAGGATAACGGAGAAGAAATATAAAGACACGGCCGTGTTTTAAGAGGAAGAAGAACTGACTTTGGGAGAGGAAGTTGCCTCTAAAAAATAAATTAAGCACGTCAACTGTTTTTAAGCAGTAGTGTAGGCAGCTGCTCATACATTATTCATCCTTTTAGTTTTCACCTTTGTAGTAAAACTTTGATTTTAACTGAAAAAGAACATCAGGTCAGCAAAAAACCACCAACCATTCCTCAGTGTTCCGGTCTGCTCACATCTGCTCGCCTGTATGATTGACTTCTCGCTTGACAGAGGCAACATTTTCTGTATGTGATATTGCTTCAGCAGAAAAAAACCTCACCTCTGGGATCCTGTGTGTCTGCTGCACACTTCTATGAATAAGAGACCAAATGGCAGAGTGCAAACCTGCCACTTCAATAACATCACATCTGCTCTCCCCGTACTCGGGAGAGGCGCAAAATAAAAGGGTGCAGAAAGTCCAGAGAGAAACTGAAATTGCTTCTGGGATTAAGTGGAATAGAATATATAATTACAGCGAAAGGTAGACACCTTTTTTTATTTCAGATTACAATCTTTTTCTGCAGTTGTATTGTTTGTATTACATTGTTCTATATTTTTCAGCAACAACTGACAAAAGACTACTTTATCACACTTGTAGAAACAAAGAACAAATGCCTGAAGTGTGGATTTGTTATCCAGATGCCACACAGATCATATGTCTGCATGTGTGTATGTCCAAGCTGCCCAGATTTGCATGCATGTTCCTACCGTGTTTGCATACGTTCTGTAGGCACACATACGGCAGCGCTGTGTGCTCAGGTTGTTTGCCCTCAATCCAGGTCCCAGCTGGTGGGGAGACGCTGGTTCGAGCGCTGCTCGTGCTGCACATCCAGCTCACAAACTAAACACGTGGAGAAACCTATGCAAGACACAAGTACCTCAGCCACTGTAACGCAGGACTAATTTGGGCTTGTTTTACAAAAAGTGTGTATCTGTGTGAGTATCTGGCTGTGCAATGAACCACAAGGACCTGGATATGGAAAGTCATGATGTGACGTGACACATCAGCATCCTCCACGCAAATAAGTCAAACAGTCTTTGTGCGTACAATCATGCACAAAAACATATTTTTTAGGTTTTTGTTGTTGTTTTTGATGATGATGATACTGTTGCTTTTTCAGAAATAACTGCAATTGCATCTCTTTGCTATCTGCAGGGTCCAAGAGCATGTCTTGGCACTGAATACATATTTTATTTTATTTTTGTCCACTGTTTATCTATACATTTTCCCCTCACCCAGCTCCGTCTCTCCCTCCCCGTCTCAGTGTTTGCCTCACGACCCAATCAGCCGTTCCTTCCTTGTTTCTCTGTGTGTATGCGCTGTATGTCTCTGGATCGCTGCCTAAGCAGTGACAGAGACATCACTACCCTGTGGCTCTGGCTTGTTAGTGCTATCTCTGGGCAGATCAACCTCAGGAAGGACACATAGTAGGAGGCAGAAGGAGGAGGATGCCACTGCAGAGCAGAATAAGTTCCATCATGTTAGTGAGGTTAGATGCTTTCTAGTGATTCACGCTGTCAGCAAAGCTTGAATTTACCTTTAAGAAGTAATAATTATTTATTTTGTTTAGTTAAATAAAAATGCTTGACATGTTTCAAACACCTTGGATCTGAGGAAGCATGTGAAACCAAAGTTAGCAATTTCAGCTGCTTTCATGAGTCATCTTTTGGGTCTTTCGGATCAGAAGCTTGCAGAAGAAATGACATTTGTGATAAGTTGGGAACGGGCAGTTCACAGGTCAGTTTGTTCCCTCTGCTTTCGGCCATGAAAAATGCCAGCTGAGATCTGTGTCAAAGACTTCACATGGTAATTTGAAAGACCAAAAAAGAAAAGCTGAGTCACGATTCATCAGATCAAAGTGGAATTTCCTAATCAGATAAGTAGAACGTAATGCTAAAAGACTGGGCACTGCACTCCCTTCTCCTGTAAGGTTTAAGCCTCATCATCAGACATTTTAACAACTTGTTTGCGTTGTGTTGCACAAGCACAGTCAGCTAAGATACAGCCAGCATCAAACAGAAATGAAAGGAAGTCTTTTGTATGATGTGCACTTTACTTTTAGACAGAACAAAAAAGGAGACAATGGGCGAGATTTTAGCAACTGCTAGCATGTTATAAAAGTGTGTTACTGTTAAATTACTCCAGTTATCAGTTATGTCTACTGGCTGTTAAGCTAATGGGGGGGGTGATAATATGTAGGTTGCAAAATGGTCCCAAAATACTCCAGCTAGTGCGTTTTTCAAAGGTACACAAGGTGAAACTTTGCTTTACATTTGGCCTGAACACACCATCACAGCTGTTTATAGCTTTCCTGTCCATGACACCTGTAAGGGGGGATTTTATAGCAGCCCTGTTTAAATTGTATTCAAATCGGTAAAACGTCTATTTAAGTTGTATTTCATTATAAGGGGTGTGGCCACTAAAGGTTGGCGTAGTTTCTTCATCTTGTTCTACTGGAAGGGCTGTTCAGCTTTGTACACAGCCTGTTTATCATCCGCCAACGTTAGCATACCATCTAATATGTCAGTGAATTATGGAGTCATCTTGTTATCTAACCAGTGCTAGTGTTAGCGGATACCTCCCCAGCTCTACAGTTAGTGCATATTTGGTTTAAAGAAAAGAGGAAGAAGATGAAAAGGATGGCAAAAACCTGAACCCAAGGCTTCAAAAACGTAGTCCACAATCACGTGAATGATTTCACTATGACTGGAATCTTTGGATATTTAAGGATTTCTTAAATCATAAAATGTATCCAGAGGAAAGAAGCTGAAGAAGAGCAGAAGCTTACTGAACAAGAATGCACAGGTTTATCTAGGGCTGCTCAATTAATCGAATTTTAACCT